CGTGACGCGGGGGCTCGGTGTCGCGGCACCGCGCGCGCCGTGCTCGGGTGAGCATGGGCGCCGGACAGACGTACCAGTGGGCGACGCAATATCCGGACTTTATGGACCTCGCCGTGCCGTTCTGCGGCAGCGCGCGCACGAGCCTGCACAACCAGGTGTTTCTCGAGGGCGTCAAGAGCGCGCTGCTCGCGGCCAAGGGGACTTCGTCGGGCGGCGTCTGCGCTGGTGAGGCGTGCGAGGCCTCTGAACATGGCGAGTACCGGGGGTGGACAGACGAGGAGAGGGCCAATGGGCTGAGGGCGCTCGGCAGGGTGTATGCCGGGTGGGGATTCAGCCAGGCGTTCTACCGGGAGAGGGTGTACGAGACGGCGCCGACGCTGGGGTTCAAGGGGTTGGAGGAGTTCATGGTTGGGTTTTGGGAGGCGTGGGCTCTTTCCAAGGGTGCGTGTGTGTGTTTGTGCTGTTTTCGCCCTTTGGTGTTGGGTTGACAGCGCCCCAACTTGACGACGACTGACATGGTCTAGATCCCGAGAACATGCTCGTCATGCTGCACACGTGGCAGGCTGGGGACTGCTCGGACCAGGAACCGTACAACAAAGGTATGCGCCCATGTTGATGTTTCCAAGTGTTGTCGTGCATTCAATGCATTTCATCAGGTGCTCGGCTGAAGAACAGAGACAGACTTTGAGCTGGCCATGCGCAGCATCAAGGCCAAGATGCTCGTACTTCCCGGCCAGACGGACCTTTACTTTCCACCCGAAGATTCTGAGTACGAGGTCAAATGCATGAGCCCAGGGATCGGGACGTGCGTTGCCTTCCCCTCGATCTGGGGGCACTGGTAGGTTTCTCCGTTGCGGGACAGGTGACTTGATGCTGAGCGTACGATTCCAGGGCTGGCGGGCCGGGGCAGAGCACAGAGGACGTCAAGTGGCTCGACGAGAAGCTGAGGGTCTTCTTTGGCGATGGAGGGTCTGATGCCGATACCGAGGCGATGACCGAACGCCTGTCGACCTTGTAGACAAGGCGGACCTGTTGCGTGTAAGAGGTAGTTGAAGCAAACCTTTGGAGTGTAGTCCGAGGCAGACATGTCAACTTTGTATAATGGCAGGTACTTCCTCGGGCGCCTGCCGACGGAGCATCCAACTATAGCACTTGCCTTGCTGGCCTCTGTAGGTAGCTACGTACCCTACCCAGCCACAGCCCGGACGGCGTCATCCACCTGTCGGTGGCTTAGCAAGCAGCAACCGCAGAACGTAGAACGCTGAACGCTGAACGCTGAACGCTGAACGCTGAACGCTGAACGCTGAACGCTGAACGCTGAACGCTGAACGCTGAACGCTGAACGCTGAACGCTGAACGCTGAACGTAGAACGCTGAACGCTGAACGCTGAACGCTGAACGCTGAACGCTGAACGCTGAACGCTGAACGCTGAACGCTGAACGCTGAACGCTGAACGCTGAACGCTGAACGCTGAACGCTGAACGCTGAACGCTGACGTTGATGTTTCGGCCGTCGCAGCCGTGTGCTCCCCATCCTTGTAGCACCACCTTGTCCATCTTCGTACATACGCAAACAGCACACACACCACGACGACCCTCATCAATCCCTCCCTCCTGTACATACAATTCCAATCCCTCTTGAACGGTCAATTGCTCGAACGCCAAAGAGACCGCCTCAGCACGCATCCTCCTCGACCAGCTCGCCTCGCCACGGCTTGCACGACTCGTCCACAAACGAGCACAGCGGCATCCCCATCTCGAGCTACACGAATTCGAGACGTTGCCGGCATCACGAACCTCGGACCCTCCATTGAGGCTTCCTCCCACGGCTCAATCAATCGCCAGACGCACAACCCTCCCTGGGTACCCGCCACAGCCATGGCGCAACTCCTCCTCGATCTCGTCACCTCCTTTGGCAACTGCCTGAGCTGCTTCCCCGGCTCGCCCACCCTCAAGATCAACAATCGCAGTTTCAAGATCTTGCGGCTGCTAGGCGAGGTGCGCCCCTTCCTCTCCCCCCCCCCTCTCTCTCACGTCCCCTCTCCGGTTCTCGCTCTCTCTGCCATGAACGACTTGCGATCCCCCAATTCCTATCCATGAGCTGACTTGTCCCTCCAGGGCGGCTTCTCCTACGTCTACCTCGTTGAGGACACATCCACACAGGCGCAATACGCCCTCAAGAAGATCCGCTGTCCCTTTGGCGCCGAGTCGGTCGCCCAGGCCATGCGCGAGGTCGACGCCTACCGCCTCTTCGGCCGCACCCCGGGCATCATCCACGCCGTAGACCACGCCGTGGCCTCGGAGCGCGGCGGCGGCGGTGACGACCCCGGCGCCAAGACGGTCTACGTCCTGCTGCCCTACTACAAGCGCGGCAACCTCCAGGACCTCATCAACGCCAACGCCGTCAACAACGCCACCTTTCCCGAGCGCCGCCTCATGCTCCTTCTTCCTCGGCGTCTGCCGCG